TTTCTCTTAAAGCAGATTTCTAACTAATCAGATTTCTACAAGTATATGCTATATTAAAGTATATTGGACCATTACTCGAAACCATTACTGGAATAGATAGGGTATTACAAACTGCTCAGATTTGTCTACAAAAGTCTTTTAAAAGTCCCTATTTAAAAGTGTAACGGTCCTGAAAATCTGCTTTCAGAGACTCCACTTACTAGAATAGACACATTATTATTGGATTTCTAGTAATGGTCCAATATAATTACACATTTAATAAGTCTGAAGGTGTTGGTTCTCTATCTGGAGAACTAGGTTCATAAATTCTATAAACTGGTTGTTGGATTTAACTATTTGTTCAAGTTAGGCCTTCAACTATAAGTCTCCTATAATTCCGCTCGTGTTCAAACTGAGGAGTAGAGGAAGTAGAACATCTAGGAGAAATTCTGGAAGGACAATGAAAAATATTTATTCTAGTTCGTCTGGACGAATTACATTGTATTTCAACGTCCCTATCAGGATATTCTATTATTTGTTCTAGTTCTCAGTTTATAGGAGTTCTAGACTGTTGATTTTCACAGTGCAGAGACCATTTTTCAGGGAGTCTGATTTGGGACCAAGATACAGACCTGGGTATGACAATATTAGATTTCTCTATATTAGTTTGAAAAAATACTGTCGGTCCCTTATTATCCATTTGCAGTACATTGGGGCATAAAGTATTCATGATTTTATAACATATTCTATATACTAAAGTAATATTCTGAGATCCTGAATGCATGTCAAATCCTTGGGTTTTTAAGTTTAAGGTCAGGACTTTTAAAAGATTGGGATCACTTAAGGCTACTGAAATGGACCATTCCAAATTTTTGCATATTAAAGTATATTGGACCGTTGCTAGAAACAACATCACCTCTCTGAAAATCTAGCGACTTTTAGCAATGTATAAAAGTCCTAGTAACGCTTCCTAACTTTTATAAACTTTCTGATGCTACAGTCTATAATAATGGTAATTGTTTTGAATTCCCTTTTATTATGGTTAAAGGATTAAGCCAATCTGTAATCCTAAAAACTCCATTTTTAAATATGCTATATCCAATATAAATTGATAGTACTGGAATTTAAGCTAATATTGAAGGTCATGATGTAAAATTCAATTTCGTTGAAAACCCAAAATTTGAGAAATCAATGACATAAAAGAAAAAATCTTTAATAAAGAAAATTTTTTATATTATCTCAAGGAAGAAATGAAATATAAAACAATAGAAACCAAGCTCTTGTTTCCTGAAAATAAAAAAGGATAATAGAAAGCCTTAGAAATAATATTGAAAAAGAGATATGTGCTGAACTCCCAAATGTTTTTTGGAATAGACAAAAAACATATTGTTAATTTACCTTATGAGGCTGATTTTCATGAAGAAAAAATTCCTACTAAAGCTAGGCCTATTCAAATGAATCCTAGACTTTTAGAAATCTCTAAAAAGGAGATTGCTGAGTTACTTCAAAAAAGACTTATTAGGAAAAGCTCTTCTCCTTAGAGTTGTTTCGCATTTTATGTTGAAAATGCCTCTGAAATAGAACGGGGTGCACCTCGATTGGTTATAAATTATAAGCCCCTTAATAAAGCCTTAAAATGGATAAGATATCTCATTCTGAATAAAAGAGATCTTTGGATAAACTTGTTAATGCTTGTATTTTCTCAAAATTCGATCTAAAGTCTGGATATTGGCAAATCCAGATTGCTGAAAAAGATTGTTATAAGACTGCTTTGCTAGAAATTTGGAAACAGTATCTTGCCCTTTGTAGGAAGCACTGCTTTCTCTGCTTATATCACAGATCTCATACAATTGGTATGTGACTTACTTTTCTAGAGATCCATGCCAACTTTAATGGTGATCCTTTGAGGTTCTACACACATGGGTGGGAGAGGATCCTATAGGATCATTTCTCATATATATATATATATATATCCACTTATACCTCACCGGTATACCGGATGAGTCCACTTATTTCCTACCTGCATATCGAATAAGTTCATTTGTATACTGACAATATCTTTAAAACTCTTTATCATTAAATATCACGAAACAACAATATCATATATTCAAAACAGGGTGTGGTGTCCATGAGGTTGCAACCTTAAACAATATTAAGGCGCACCTTCAAATTTGATCATAACACATAATTTTGATGTAAAATATTCTTAGGATTATCTCAAACTCTATTTTCATATCTAATTATAAAATTTTAAAATCGAAAATAATTAAAATCAAGTAGATCTATAAACATATGAAAAATTTTAAAATGGATGGTTTAGATAATATGTCATAAGACGCACTATTTTTGGGACTCAAACTCCTTTTTTCTTTCATAATCATACATCTCAATGTCGAGATTCTGAATTAGAGGGTTTTTCAACATTAAAATAATATTTTTCAATGGATTTTTGAGGTGCTTCCGTAGTTTTGCATTTTAAGGTTGCAACCTTATATACACTTTTTCCTTCAAAATATCATTGAAATCACTAATATGAATTCACATAAAGTAATTTATATCAATCACTTTCACTGACATTTTCTTAAATAACCAGTCAAATATTTTTTGCTATAGTTTAAAAAAGGTCGCAGTTATAAGAGACATTCTTGAAATTTAACATGATACGCAGTCAATTGGCAATAGAAGAATTCTTATGAAAATCTAGAGTTAAATACTGAATTTTCAATTATCTAAAATCCTTAACAATGGAAGATTGATGTCACAAATTTATTAAATATGGAAATACAAATTTTTAAAATAACTATTTTATAGGAAGATAAGGCCACTTGCACATAACATTTATAGTATCTAAAATTTATACTGATAGACGTAAATGTTACAATTAAATACATAAATACCATTTTTATATAACTATTTTACAGGAAAATGAGAACACTTACTTTTATATATCACGAGATGAGTATGCTGCTACTGTCGCTACAGTAAGACTGAGATTAATGACGTTTATCTAAAGGTATGAGAAGATATACCAGATGAGTATATATGCGAAGAGGGACCATGCACATTTTACAAAGAAGAAAAGATGAAAGAGATGAGAATGAGAGAGAGAAATGAGAAAAAAATAATTGTTATGAGAGAATCATCATGAGAATATCATTATGAGAATAACATTAACATTATGAGAAGAATATTATCTTCATAAGAATATTATGAGAGAGAGAAAAATAATTGTTATGAGAAAATAATACTAACATTATGAGAATAATATTATCTTCATTGAGAATATTATGAGAGAGAAAAATAATTGTTATGAGATAATAATACTAATATTATGAAAATAATATTGTCTTTATGATAATATTATGAGAGATAGAAAATAATTGTTATGAGATAATAATACTAACATTATGAGAATAATATTGTC